GGGTTTATATTTGTCGAAACCGCTGTATCGACGACGTTTCTCAAACCACTTGACATGTGGTCAGGTTGGCACGTAAGTGCACCCCAAACATACTCGCAATCCAAGTAATAAAATAGACACAACTTGCTCGCAGCGTGGGTGAAATTGCGAAAGGATTGGTGTCCCATCGTGACTGGTAGACCTGAACGGTCTAAAGCCTGCATATCATACAGAGGCCGCGAGTTTATCATATATGTGCGCGCATCAGCATAGCCACAGACCACAGTACGATATATATACACAGAAGCCTATTTTAAGTATGTTTTCCCGTATTCAATTTCAACCAGACGAGCGTACAGCGAATACCATAAACTCCAGCAAAATGACGTACGAAGAGATAGGCGCGTATCTCGATGATTACTGTACTCGAGTGCTTCAGTTGCTGCGCACGCATGCGAAAGACCTGTCGTTCATCGAAGTGGATGTTTGGTCCCTAGTACCCACAGTACTCTTGCCTAGGCTTGCGGATGTACTAGAGAGTGGGAATGTACCGGAATACAAACTTGGTGAGTGGTAGCTTCAACTCTGTTTGGGCGTGGTCGCTGTTTTCTTTATAAGACGCTAATTGCGTTTGTTTGGTGTTTTAAGTCATGACTTCAGGCGCACATATATCCAGACATGTGAGTGAACGCACGCGATGTAGCTTAGTATCCAATGTGCAAGAGTATCAACTGCATTGTTTACGCATGTTGCTATGTACTCTCCTGGTGAGTGTATCAGGTATACAAACAAGGGATGTCCGACATCAATGAAGTGAATTGGCGGCCTTTCAAGATATGATAGATCATATAATATGTAGCGCTCGCCTACTGCCAGTGGTTATAAGCCCTCACTGGTGCAATTCTGTACACATCCAGTCTGAGTTTGGTTATATGCGTTGATGCGTTACCTCGTGAGCACCATATCAGTGCTAGATTTAGAGCCTACTTCAAGTCACTGACTGTATGTAGTAGACTGTTGTTCTCGAGAAGAGCTTCTCAATGTTTATCAAGTACATCATGAATAATATCTTGCCGTTCGCAGGATTTGTAATATTCAATTCTTGTGACAACCATATATATATATTTATATATTAAAAGTTGTAGATGCGAAGGTTACGTTGTAATTAGGGCCAAAGTGTATCGTATTGTGTAATTAATATGTATGTTTCATTTCGGCTGTTCCACTGTGAAGCGACACTGGCCTAAGTCTGTGATCTTCAGGTTTCCTTGCTTAACCATTCACTACGTTGTTGCATGCTTGCTGAGAAAGCGACTAGCCTGATATTTCTCCTTCGATTTAAATTTCAGTACGCTTCAGCTCCTTTGCCACCTGTCAATAAGGATATACCCAAGCGGTCTGAATTGCACACTCGCCGACGTTTTTATTTGACGATACGATAATTTGGGTTTTACTAATGTATCGCCTAAGAAGGTATAAGAAAGGAAGGCGCGCAGAAGTCAAATTTGCTCGCAGACGGTCGCATCGCCACCTTACAACGCGAAGACCTATCCCATCGTACAGGCCATATTGCCTAGCGTTTCTTTAAATTCTCAACACTCTCAGTGTCACATTATGATGCAATACTTTCATCGGGCGACCTCGAAATATTCCTATTGCAAGGTTCATCCCTCACACAAACTTTCAGGCGAATTTCAAACTGATTTACATTGTACTTCCGAATTGCAACAGAAATGCCTTCTTCCAGCAAAGCCCTCACATTCTTCAACCGAGTCTTCGGGGCTCATGACGGGTCCCTGTCGCCAACAGAGGTGCAGGCACTGCTGGAAGCACTGGGACGCATCCGCACGGTTTGTCAAGCTGCGCAGGATGAAGGTGTCGATCTCGTGCTCAACATTGACGAAGGTATGAGTGTGTGGCTGTCACTAGGTTTTGAGGTGGAGAGCTCAGACAAAGAACTATCACCATGCTTCATTAAGCTGACATACTTCACAGCAATATCTTCCGAACATTATAAGTGGTCGATCGAAGAACTATCACCATGATCCACAGCATTGGCTACCTTATCTGCTAAGTCATATTAGTGATACTAATGTATTATTATCGCACAGTACTACTTTTCACTAATATCACACTGTCACGCAACTAATACAGGGCCTCCCAGGTCAGCGGCTGAAGATCAAACCCTGAACCACTTTGCATGTGAAGTTGTTTTGTCCATGACATTAAAGAGCGTGGATGTTCTCAATGCAGCCGGTGTCTTCTCTACACACTCCGGTGAGGAATCGAGCATTGCTGACGCAGGCGGCAAACATGTATCATCTCGCACACCAACATCGAACGTTTATAAGCGATATAAACTCACACGGGAAGGCACGCAGCAACTACAGGAGGATGTGACCAACAGTGAAGCGTTTGAAGGTACTAGTAACAGCTCTCACCGGTTCTTGGGTATAGTTCTGGTTGGGGGCATTGCTGGACAGGACCCTACGGTGGAAAACTCATATTTGCGACAGGCCACACAAATTGTAGCGCCGCTATTGGCCGCTCAACAGAGAGAGGGCGTTCCGCGGATAGGGGTGATATACTCAATACACTCCGCAGAACAGGGCAGTATAGTCACCCAGGCCTTTACCAAGATGTATCAGACACATATGTCAACTCGCAGTCAAGATGTGGACTCTAGGGTAGTGCAGGCGACTGATACAAAACCACAAGTGAAACAGCAGACAAAAGAAGATGAAGGTATCCAGCACCCGCACTCCGGGATGGAGATGACGGGTTTCTACGGTGTGCGCGTCAATCAGCGCTTTAATATCGCTGACACAGTGTCTTGCCAGCTACAGCAATCCCTGAGCGCAATTACACGTGACAAATCTACACCCGCGAAAGCTATAGGTGGACTGGGTTCTTCAGGGATACACTCGGATACAAAGTCACGCCCGGTGGTGAAGACGGTGGCGGTGGGTGATGTGGATGCAAGAGTGCTGTACTTAAACCGCTTGGTCACCAAGTATAGTGGGGTACTGCTAAAGAATCCTGACACCAAAAAAGTCGGCAAGTTTCTTATCAACCCGTGAAGTGGAGTATAGCGGGATGCTACAACAGAATCTCGACTTAAAATCGTCAACTCTTCTACCAACTATAATAGCGGAGTATAGCGGGAGGTGCGTAAGAAGCATTCTATCTAGGAAGTGGGCCAATCTCTTTTCAACCTCTGAGATAGAATATTGTGGGAAACTGCCGAGTATTTTGACACCAAAAAAGTACGGCAACTTCCTTACCAGCCGCTAATACGGATCTTCTGATATATAGTCGTTAATTGTTTAGACGTACACGTACAAATTTAACATGGCGGGTGAATTCTTGAAACGCAATTCTTTTAATAATCCTGTCATGTCGCCTCCGCGGACCATGTCATACATGTATAATATCGTTTAGCAGAATAGATTGTTCAGCAGGCAGTCTCTACCGCAGCGACAGTGCACGCGATATGATAAACATATTTGCCTAAATACTGTCTCGGTGGGACGTTACACATGTGGGGCATGTTCTGAAGATGTTCCGCGGATACGGTCGCTGTAGCAATGCTATGGGACATCCAACAATAAGGATGCTTATCGTGCTCGCCTGCAAACCTCGATTGAGCAGACTTCGGCAACAGTTTGGCTAGAACTCAACATCACGCTAGAATTGTCTCTCTATAATTTTGAGGGCATGTATATCCTTGCGCTTGGGTGGGCGTCTGGCACAAGGTTGATGGATACGGACGCTTGCCAAATATACCTCCCATCCCAGCCCCATGTTGTGATGTAGACATCCGTTTCAATCAGGCTTCGTCTATCCGGCAGGGAGTCGGTCAATACCGCTACTAGAATGTCAAGCGCGAATTGATTATGCGGCGCAGGGCGTACCGACAGCAGGAGGTAGTTGACTGTTATAAATGAAAACTCAAGATTGTACTGAGTTCAATCTTTGCACATAAGGGAGTTTCTACGTTCTAACAGTGGACTGGAGTTCTGCGGAGAAGAGATATGGTGACCATTGTTCGACCACGGCTTGTTGGTGAGCACGGTTTTGTTATCTAGCATACCTAGTATATAGTAGTCGAGCTCGCGTGTTCAAATGCGGGAGTGAAATTGGCTCCTAGCCTGGCTAAGGCCAGGCTTGATTCTCTTTTCACAAATAACCTGACCGTGTACCACAATGGGTATTGTTGGGTGAACCCTCGACTCGCATGCGCAGTCTCTATGGATTTTTAATCGAAGCGACTTCTTAGGATAAAATGATGTCTCGACAGGCAACAAGGCAATTTGGTGCGTTTGTATGGTTCTCCACCATCACTGCCAAGAAAATAAACCACGATCTCACAAACTCTGATGCTCTACTAGATGCAAATGCTTGCGATGGTTTTCCCAATCTACCAACTTCGGTCGTATATTCGAGTGAAAATTGCAGGGACTTTTGCTATCCTATACACAAGCTGTCTGGACACGCACTACCGCTAATAACATATACAACACACCCAGAAATCTCGCTAAATATTATACATGCGCGAAACCTCAATGCACATGGAGTGTCAACGAACGTCTGCCGTCACTGTGTGTGGCAGACGAAAGTTGTATTCACCATCTGATCCAAAAGAAGTTACATACACAGTATGCATTGCCACCACGGAACAACCAAACAAAATATGTGAAGTATTATCATTATAGTACTCGGTCAAATAACGTTTGAATAATTGAATTGATGTAAGTCTGCAATTATACAAATAATGCTTTCACCCGTACACTGGCAGTGATTTAGCATCCTAGATTTTATTTCTACTTGTCACAGTGTGTGCGAAGTCGCGGCTTAAGACCTGATTCAACGAGAACAATGCATGTGTATGCTTAGATGATATTTCTAGCCCTCAGCGGTCTACAAAAACACATCGAATGGTATGAAGTGTGCCGTTGTGTCCTAAGATTGGGAATTATGCGCCATACTGAAGAACCGCGAACATGAAGTCATCACTTGGCTCGAAGGCATATTCATTCAACCCAAGGCTTGGGATATCCTTACCCTTCCTTGAACATCTCGTCAAACCACACGATTACTCATTCTTCAGACATGCACTTATATGTTCCATAACGCACCTCACATGCTATAGAATAGACTACAATCTGTCCGCCTCCTCTAGCTGGAAACTACTCATGCTCAAAATAGCTTACAAAGCCTTCTCTAGCTCAGGAACGACTTTGAAAAGATCACCCACGAGTCCGTAATCGGCCACCTGGAAGATAGGGGCATCGGGGTCCTTGTTGATGGCTACGATGGTCTTGCTATCCTTCATACCTGCAAGATGCTGGATGGCACCGGAGATACCTACAGCAATGTAAAGCTCGGGGGCTACAATCTTACCGGTCTGTCCGATCTGCATATCGTTGGGCACGTAACCTGCGTCTACGGCCGCGCGCGAGGCACCTATATTAGGGAATCAGAGAAAGAGCCCATATCAACAAGAGAATATGACCGTCAAATAAAATTGCGTACTGAAACGAAATTGCGACAACCATGAGGAAAATAGCACAGCGCATGACACTGGCACATTCGCCCTGCTAGAGCAGATATAGTACTAAGTAACTAGACATACAGCACTGCGACCCAGAGAGAAAGCACAAACGACTAAGACTACGAGAATGCAGCTACAACACGTGACAGGTGAGCCGATTTTACTTCAGGAAGTCGTGGATACATACCGACACCAGCGGACAACTTATCGGCCAAGCTGTAAAGAATTTCGAAGTTCTCGCCACTCTTCAACGCACGACCTCCGGACACAACAACACGGGCACTGCCGAGCTCAGGGCGATCGCTCTTTGAAAGCTCCTAGAAAATTGAAGAGATCAGAGTATTTAAAAGCGCATACGACTTCCCGTTGGGACTCGTGCGATTCAGGCAAAAGGAACAAAAACGTAGGAATGAACCGAGAAAGAAAACTGTTGAAAACAATGCTGGCCACATTCTGAATGCTATTGGTTCATGTCAGATATCGGACTGAATCAAAAACATAAAAAATTAACGTGTGCGGTCGAAGATTGCATATGAATGACTAACAGAAACGCATAAAAATTGTAGAAGTTACTAAAATGCCTACACCTATGGGAAAGAATGATGATTTCATGTACAAACACATGTACCACATCTGAATACACATACAGCATGTACTGTACCTGTCCAACAAACTTTGATAGGGACTGAGCCTCACCAGCGGCAACGGATTCGTTCTCAGCGGAACCACCGGTCTCGTCAGCAGCGGCAAAAGCGGTTGCACGCACAGTGACCACCTTAATATCATCACTGGACTGCACCTTGGCGACGGCATTTCCGGCGTAGATGGGGCGCGTGAATGTGTTGGCGTCAACCACACCCGTAATATCAGAGATAGACTGTGCAGAGGGGAGAGATCATTCAAAATTAGGTATCAAGTGTACCGGTTGCGCGCGATTTCGTAACGTGAACGATTTAAGTCTTCCACGTAAAGTAAAACGGCAGAGACAGGAAGGCAACAAAAAAAGGGGCACGAGCGTTAAAATTATACTACTTCTGTACGATATAGACGATATATACAAAAGTACGTATGCACGACAATATAAATGAGTATCCAAAAATCACGCCAGTAATAAATATTGCCGATACAAGCTATAAGAATACGGCGATACTATGGGTAAAAACTGGTAAAAAATCCACGTAGTAATCGAAACAAACAAAATGCTATGTTTTAAAAGGTGTGTGCCCAGCCATGTGATGTATACCTGCACGTCTAGAAGGGCAGCTACACGGGGCGCAACGTTCTTGCCAATGGCAGTGGCGGATGCGACAATGTGAGAGAAGTTGAACTGCTTCTGTGCAGCAACTATAGCGGGGGCTACAGCCTCGGGTAGATGTCCCTTGAAAATCTCATCATCAGCAACAAGGATCTTGTCGACTCCGGCAACCTTAGACAATTGCTCAACGACCTACGCAGAAGTTACAATTGATATGAATACAAGCAAGTATAAATCCGTGCAGGGAAAATAGCAGCCCAAGAAATCTAACTAATAGCGCAAGGAAAATGCATGATATGAATAGACTTCATGAGGGATCCTAACGGACCCAGAAATCCTAGTCAATATCAACGATATATGTAGCAAAAAAACCCCCTTTTACAATGAATTACTCAGCGTTGCACAAGAATAGTGATCCTATCACCATTCTAGCAAACATGGTCAGTTGCTCAACAACCATATTCCACCATGACACCCATGTAAATTGTACATACAGACATATCTACCAGTATGAACCCCCGCATTTAATACGTCAACTATTGCACACGCTAGATACTCAACTTCTCAAATATGAGAAAACAGATATAAACGTGCGCCCAGTAAAACATTTGTGTGTGGTTGCACCAGCAGCAGTAAAATCATCTTGCCCGGCGAATTTCCTCGAATCATGTTCAGTTTGCTTTGTTTCTAGCTATGCGATATTCATTGTTGACCGAATTGAACACTACACATGACCGAACAACGCGGACATACGATTACTATCACGATCGTTCGAACGTATCAGTAGTATAAGAAGTGTCTCGGGATCTTAGCACTTCGAAAGTGCTAGCTTACTTTCTATTATCTACTGAGACACGCTTATCCACTTTGAACTGCTCACTCTGTTTTTTAAACAAATATGTAATAGTGTTTTCCTCAGAGACACCGGTTGAATGGTGATTACTATTTCCGTGTACCACAAAAACGGCGAGCTCGCTGTTTGATTGCTAACAGTACATGAGACGGTGTCAAGAAATTGCAGATTTTCTTTCTAGACAATAATCTGCTTTGCAACATGAAAAATAAACCGAAATTAAGATTGCTTGCCGTGTACTGATTACAGATCAGCACTATGATAAACAAACACACGCCGAAAATAATTATAGACGAAACTTGCAGCGTGAAATAAGAGTACTAGTCCATTACAGACATAATTATATGTCGATCACAGATATATACAAACACACATATATTTTAGTACTCTAAGCTTGCCTCGGACACCATGATAACCATATAAGATATGACATATCAGACCCCGATATACAGATGCGTGGGATACATGAATCAATGATTTCCTCGTCAAAAAGTATTCGCATATGGGTAATTGCATAAATTTTTATAAACCAGAAAGTAAACTAGCTAAGCCGCCGCGTAGAGGCATTCAACTATCCTGCTATAATCGATATTATTTATATATATATATATGAATCCATATACATTGCAGGCAATCGAGAAACAGATATATGTACATCTATATGGAAGTTGTGTATACATGCATGTATATATGTATATATATACCTTGCGGGTACAATTTTTTATTGCACACCGATCTACTTAGTCAGATACATCAAGTGAGGTCAAAGGCAAAAACAAGCTGATGGCAAGCATATATATATATATATATGAACGAATTTGTATTTCAATAACATTCTTTGGAAAAATTCAAGTTGAAGTCAATCGATACCAAGTCTAAACGTTCTACCACGCTGAATACAGACATTTTTGCATACATACCATACAGCACTCATATATGTATTTATCAATTCAATCTAAACCCACTGCACGCATGCACACATTTATCTGTTTTATCCAAAAAATATACACAACATACCGGTCCACAACCACAGCCAACGATCATGCAGGTAACGGGTCCACCGATAGCCTTAGCAGCAGTGATAGTGTGTAGAGTTGGCTTTAACACCTTGGCATTGTCGTGCTCGACGTACACCAGTGTGTTGGATGCTCCGGCACTGTAACAGCGACGAGCTGCTGCGGCCTGTAGTGACGCACGCAGAGTATGTGAGAATTGACCTTGCTTCTACTGTGTCGGGGTATACTGTCTGTCCTCGTTCCATCGAGGTAAAGATGATCGCTGCATATTAACTTTTAGGGCGCTCGATGACATGTGCGGCTATATATATATATATGTGTGTGTGTGTTCTCGTGAAAATTGGGACAAGGAACGAGAAAATAGTATCAAATGGAGCAATCCGACCACATTGTCAAGGATAAGCGTATCATCACACAGCGATAAATCGAGTAAACATTAGTAAATACTTGGTTCCCAAACACCCGTAAAAATTTGAAAAGGCATGAACGCAAAGGACAGTGTCCGATATGCATAGAAATCGGACAGCCCCTGTCATACAGTATCACGCATACATGAGACTCGGTACGCGAGATGGTAAACAGTGATATAACCTGTTTTGCGTCATAGGCGATGATATATATAAGCACTTAGCCATTCGCACAACGGAGTCTTCTTGTTTATATGATATAGATCAGAACAAATGCGCCCAACTACAAAAAACAGCTGTTTCAGGTAATCGCAAATGTTCAATAAATAAAAAAGTAAAGGGGAACTAAACATTGTTGTAGCTATTTACAAGCGATCAACGAAACGACAGCAATATAGAAACTTGACAGCATTGTCACGGCTAAGTGCGTTAAAACTTAAATATACGGGTATACAGTAGCTTTAACGCACCATTACAGCGCAGCGTCCATTGGAGAAAGCAGAGGTTCGGATAGCGGAAAGCATCTTGCTATGATAGGGTTTGTAGTTCAACGGACCTCTGTGCAGAGATGAATGTAGAAGTGTACCCTACTTATCCTCGATTTATTACTCTATATAAATTTTTATATGTATTCCTATTTGGCCTCGAAATCTTTTCTCTCTATTGTCTTGTGTAAACTGTAAAAACGCAACGCAATATTGTCAACAACACAAACAAAAAGAGAAGAAGAAAATTGCAAAAACCGTGTGTGATCGCGATCACGATTTTCATAACTTTGACACTCTGACACTTCCGCGGCACCTTCACGAAACTCAAGAAGCCAATATTTCGGTGCAAAAGCGGGACATACCCCCTTATAATTGTATCTCAGGCTCTCAGCCCGGCTCATCAGGCCTCAGCGAACAGGATAATGGAGTTGGGTATTTTGTCCGAAGTTTTTTTCACGGCTCTCTGGAGTCTGGATAGAGTCTTTCGAAAAATGGCTTTCTCTCGACCCACGGTTCCCCCGTAGACTTACTGCTGAGGGTCATGGGTTTTAGACCAAAGATTGTAGAATAAACCTCCAATGCCTAGTTTGTTCAAGCCTCAACTTCAAGTGTCATCCCGTGACACTCCTGAAACTCCCCATCTATATGCTTAGTCTTCTGAGTTCTGAAAATAGAACACTGTATGGCCTTTTTTTAATTTTAAACGTTCTTCATTTTTGTTTGAAGAAAAAAAACATTCTGCATTTCAAATTTTCTATCCAATACGTATTCACACCCGTACGCATCTATACGACTCAGAAAAAGAGAATTATCATAGAAAACGTAGATTTCGGATCTTCACAAGTCATTATCCCTATAGCTCCGGCGGCGGCAACAGCTATCCCGTGATTTGCTGTTCCATTTAAAAGCCGTAATAAAATATTTGTGGAATCGACGGCGTGATATTTGTGGTATTCTCTCACTCTGTTAACCTTTTTGATAGGCCGCTTCCAGATCTTTTTGGCAAAAGAGTAAAGTGAACTCAGAACTGGACCTGTTTTGTAAGCAAGAAGGGGGGGTATGAATTAGGATTAGGACCGAATCCAATTTGATTTTGAGCTCGTTATCAATGAAGCTGGTAAAGTGGATTTGACTTTCTCTCATCTCTTGCAATTGATACAAGAAGAGCGCTCAACTTCTCCAAAGAGACTGCGGATCCGTCTAGTGTATGATACCAAACCACGGGGGGGTTTTTATAACTATAAAAACTATAGTCATGTCACTGAAAACGTGAGCTTGACTTTTTGCAATATATAAATATACATAATAAAATCGGGATAGCTGATCACTCTCATACGATCAGCGAGAGCCTGTGACTGATTGTGAACGTTCTTCATAGGTCACGCTTGTCAGAGATAACAGCTGCCTCAAGACACATTATTACTGCGTTAATATTTACCAACCGAATATGGTGTTCTCACTTGTAAGCGCCTTAGCAAGGCGTCCCACGTCCACTGTTGTACGGGTGTTGCCAGTGGCCAGACACTATTCCGATAAGATCACCACTCACTACCGCATGAATCCTAGGAATAAAGACGATCGGTGGACGGATATCGACATGGAACGGTATGCGGACGAGGCGGATATCCTGGTTGTCGGAGGAGGACCTGCAGGTGCGTTTCGGCGTGACACTATAGACGGTCGTAACCAAGTGCATATGGAACCTAAAACCCTAAAACCTTATATATATATATATATATATATGTGTGTGTGTGTGTGTGGTGTGTGTGTGTGTGTGTATGTTAGTAGTATAGTAATGTATGTTGTAGTAGTGAGGTTATGCATGTACTGACAAGTAGTAAATAGTATAGTAGTAGTATGTAGTAGTAAGTGTATTGTGT